TTTTTCTCACCAGTTTTAGAGTTCTATGGAAAGTATTAAATTAATTTTTCATAGTTAACTTTCTGGGTTTATTGTCTGATTCATATTTTTGCAAAGCTATATACTTTTTCAGAAGTTTCTGTCTGTTTTCTGTCAGAATCCACTGGAAATTGAACATGCTGTTCATTGTAAGTTATGTTTTATTTACACTGATTTTGACCTAATATTCATAGAACTAAATATTTATAAGAAACATAAATATTATATAAGCTAAATACAAATGACAATTCAAAGTGTTTTTTTAGCAGTTGTGAAAATATTTGAAAATTAATCTGAAGAAAAAGGAGAGCAGTCCTCTTCTGCTCATGTATTATCAAGTTCTAGAATGCACACAGAAGTGAATCAGCCATTCTGGTATTTTCCTATGGCTTTGCCATGGAATGAAGAGTTGTCTTGCATATGCCACTGGAGCTTTGGATATTTGGGTATTGGCAACATAAGGCATCATGTGAAACACAAATTATTCTGTTTTTACCTGTAAGGAAGCCTCTGTCTTGACTCCCCCATGTGCTCTTTAACATAAGATAGTGAGAGCAATTTATACATTTTTTTCACCCTTTGCGACTCTCCCTGAGGAAATGCAAGTAATTTGCTGATTATCTCTGAAGCATCTGAAAACCTAACAAGGATGCAAGGGACTGTTTATTAATTGCCCAGAAAAACTTTAGTCACCATCAAGTGAGTTAGATTTATATCTTTGTTTGCTTGTTGCATTCCAACTTTTTATTATTGATTAGCTTCCTTCCTTCCTTCCTTCCTTCCTTCCTTCCTTCCTTCCTTCCTTCCTTCCTTCCTTCCTTCCTTCTTTTCTTCCTTCCTTCCTTCCATTTTTCTTTTTTTCCTCTGTCATTGTTAATTTTGTATGTATCCACTTGGCTACACTATGGTGCCAGTTGTTTGGTCAATCATCAGTCTAGTTGTTACTGTGAAGGTATTTTTTCAGATGTGATTAAAGTTTAAATTGGTAGACTTTGAGTTCAGCAAATGACCCTTCAGAATGTGATGAGCTTCAACCAATTAGTTGAAGGGCTTGAGAGCTGACTGAGGTCCCTTAAAGACGAAGAGATGCTGCCTGCAGACTTCAACATTGAAACTCTGCCCGAGTTTCCCACCTTTGTACTCAGGACTCCAGCCTTAACTCTTGCCCCAATCTCCAGGTTGCCAGCCTGCCCCTT